AGGGCGGGCAGCGGTTAGAGCCGGAGAGAGTGGACGGGCAACGAGCAACACCGGAGACGGCGTGGCGGCGCGAGCTGCCCGAGTTCAGGGAGCACATGCCGACGTGTCAGGGGTCAAAAGGCGTGTGTGACCCACGTGCCACACGCACAGAGGGCGGAGAACAAGAGAGCGGCCACAGAGGGGGAGTGTGGGCAGTCTCTGTCCCTCTGCTGTTGATTTGCAAAGAAACTTACGTGATCTCTAAATGCAAAGTGGAAGTTCGAACCCTGAAGGCAAACTAACGCCGTAGCCTAGGGAGAGCCGGAACCCCCCGCAGCACGAGCCCACAGAGAGCAGAAGCCACGTCGGGTCGGGTCCCCCCGGGAGCCTGGCCTGCGTCCTGTCCCCACCCAAACCCAAGACGGCTGACAAGAGAAGCTAGCAGAGATGGGCTGGCTGCCCGCGTCCTGGTCAGCGGGGGGTCCCTGCACACGGAGCCCGGCATAGCCAGCCCTGCCTGCTGGGCCCCCGCGTGGCAGTGACTCGGAGGGCCAGCCTGCCCACGGCAATTGCAGGGCAGGGCCCCCGGCTGTGCGGGCTACGTGCCAGGAACAGGGGCCGCCCAGGGAGGGGAGGACCGCTCCCCCAGGGGCTTCAGTCAAGGCTCCCAGGTCGGGAGGTGCTGGGCCAGGGAGAGAGAAGGGGCTGTGTGCGGCTACCTCCTCCTGCAGGCCCCGGCAGCGCGTGGTGGCCAGCTCCTTCTCCTGCAGGGCGCCGCCATAGCGCAGCGACAGGCTCAGCAGCTCGTCCTTAAGCTTCAGCGCCTCGTGGAAGTGGGCGCTGACCTCGCGCTTCATGCGGCCGTGGTCAGCCTCCAGCTGGCGCAGCCCCTCGGCCCCAGCCTCAGCCAAACCCAGGCGCTCCTGCAGTCCCTGGCACCGCCGCAGCAGCGCCTCCTTCTGGCCCTTCTCCTGCCTCAGCTCCTCCTGCAGGCTCCCGATGGCGCCGGCCAGGCACTCGGTCAGCTTGGACGTCTCCATGAGGCCTGTGGAGGGCACCCCCGTTGCCCCTGCCCTGCAGCTGACCCTCAGGGTCTCCGCATCCCACCTGGGCTCCCACATGGGCCCCAGCCCTGACCTGCTGGTCTCCTTCGAAGTCTCCCTAGACTCGGGATTGGGTCATAAAGGAGTGCTATGGGTGATTCTGACCCAGGAGGAACCCTGGGCTCCCCGGGGAGACCGCCGCTCCGCCAAGGCCTCCTGAGCTGGGACGCACTTGAGGCGAACACCCCGGAGGGCCACCCAGGACAGACGGAAGGGAGCCTGGGCTGTGGAATGAGGCTGTAGCCAACAGCGGCCCTTGAAGGCCCCGGGAAACACGGCTGCTAGAGACCCTCCGGAGCTGGGTGAGTCCTGCTCTTGGACACCTCAACGCCCAAAGGTCCTCCGGGAAGCTTGAATTACTCGATGGACTGACGCCATGGCCCTCTCTCCCAGCCAGCAGCAGCAGGCCTTAGCTGGGACACCATAGTGGGCCCCTCCTCCCCCTCTGACCAGGTGACTCCTGGGAGCCTGGACCTCAGGCTAGTGTAGCCCGGAAAGGCTGGGGGATGGGGCTGCCCTCCAGTGCTGCATTAGGGACGGGCCTTCTAGAGCCCAAGGCTGGGGCTCCTTTGCCTGCCCACCCCCAGGGTGCTGGGCATGAGGACAGCGTCCTTCACCAGGAGGGAGGCAGGGGGACTGTCTGGACAGCCTGCACACAGGGCAGCACCACCCAGAGGCACCCCATGTCCCCGGGCCAAGGCCAAGCCTCACCACTGAAGGTGCTGAAGTCCACGTCGGGCTGCAGCCCTGTGACCAGGGTGTACACGTCGGGGTTGTGGAACTTGAGGCTCTCCAGGAAGGCCACAGCCCCGTTCTTCCCTCGTGTCTTCAGCAAGTCCAGCAGGTGGCCTTGGGAGGGGGATGAGAGGTTGAGGGGACAGGGCTTGCTGGCTGGCTCCCCCACGAGGGGAGGTGGCATGGGTTGGGGAAATCCTTGCAAAGCTAGGAATCGGGGTGAAAGCTGTTTCCCGAGGCCCCTCGTGCTCTCATTGGCTCACTTTACCAGGAGCGACAAGGTCTGCTCCACTCCTGAGTGTGCAAGGGGAGCGTGGCCCTGCGGACCATGGAGGGCACGCCCTGCAGAACCCAGGAGGGCACACCGCAGCCCCCTTCAACCAAGTCTGTGTCCCTGACCCTTAGCGCCGGTCCTTGGAGCCCTGCACCCCTGCCCTCGTAGAGGGCCCCACAGCGCCGCGCAGGCCAGTGGCTGGGGCGTGCTCACCGACTCTCATGGCGCGGTTGGTGAGGCGGGGGCAGTGCAGCACCTCCTCCTCGTCCAGCTGGCCCAGCACCTTGGCCTGGCGCAGGTAGGGCGTGAGGCGGCTGGGGCAGACGCTGCGCACGATGTGGTAGCGGTGGCTCTCCATCATCTCCCACAGCTCCTCCTCGTCCAGGGAGGTCAGCGTGGAGTCCCGGCGGCACAGTTCTGCCATGCTGGGAGCCAGGGGACCCTGGAAGGGCCGGTGGGGTGTAATCAGTGACAGGGCTTAGCCCGGAGGGATTTTCCCGCAAGCCTTCCCTCCACGACTCTGGAGGAGAAAAGATGACCAACTCAGGGAGCGTGAGGAGCATCTCAGAACCCCCGTCCCACTTCCCACCCTGGCCCTGGGGTCGCATGACCAGCGGGAGGGCATGTCCATCCTCAGGCCCCTCGTCAGGTCAGTTCCAGTTCCTGGAGAGCAAGAGGGGACGGGCTTCGTCTGGCTGGGGCAGTGGATTTGCCTCTGCAGCTCAGGAAGATGCTCCCAGCCCAGGCGATGGATTGGCCAGTGAGGGTGGCATTAAAAACCAGATTAAAGGGCCAGCAGGTGGCGTGGTGGTTAAGGCACTGGGCCATCGCATTGCAGACCTCAGTTCAAGTCTCCAACCTGGCAGCTTGAAACTCATGCTGGGCGTGAGTATGTGCGTGCCCAAAATCCCAAGAGGAGAATGGAGTGGAAGGGATGGCAGCGTGGCCATCGCCCCGGGGGGTGATTTCTCCCTTTCTGTCTTTCTCTCTGGGAAGCAGACTAAAACAATGAAATAAAACTGGGGGCTGGTCTAGTAGCTGAGTGGTTAAGAGTAGGTAAGTCACGTGGCTGACTGCATTGTGAGTCCCGGCCCGGTGGCTCAGTGCATGTGCATGCGTGCGTGCCCCAAATCTTCCAGGATGGAGCGACAGAGGAGGGACCGCAGTGTGGCCATGCCCGCTGGGGCTACTTCCCCGCCTCTCTGTCTTTCTGGCGAGCACATTCAGCCTCTGGCAATTAAAAAAAATTGTTTAGGGGAGCCGACACCAGTCTGCACACTGACCAGAGAGCCGGAAAGAGCTGGGCCTTAGTCCTGTAGAGTGCCCTCCTCCAGTCAGCAGAACGGGGTACCCACCCCTCAGCCACCTTCGACCGTCTGTCCCTGACCCTAACAAAATGCCACAGGGACTGACACTGTGTGAGAGCGTGCTGGGCAGCAGCGGGCAGCTGGGAAGGGGCACTTCGGTGGGGTGAAGGCCACCACCGGCTGCAGGACAGGTGGGCAGGCATGGGTTTAAGGACAGGGAGAGGTGGCATGGGTGAGTCCCAGCAGGGACTGGTTGTGGGGCCGGCAGGCAGGCCCTCCCTGCTAGCTCACTGGCTCCGGCTCTGTCTGGACTGAGCACATGGAGTGGCTTCCAGCCCCGGAAGGGTGACTCTCCAGGGGACGTGCCCACAGTCTGGATGGAAGACCTGCAGTAGGAGACCTCAACGCTTAACTGCCCAGCCTCCCTGGGCGCCCTGGGTCTGCAGACGAGCCCATCCGGCTGCTTCAGCCTGGAATGCTCTCCACGCCCTGGCACTGGGCCATGGTCTTGAGCCCCTTGATCCATCTGAGTGACTCTGAGTGTTCTTAAACTGTGACTGCGCTGAGCACACATAGAAAGTTCTGCAATAATATAATAAATATCTGGGAATCCCTCACACAGATTCAACCCACCTTAACACTTTGCACTTTAAATGTATTTTTAGGGATTTGCATCATTCATGAGAGAGCGGATGGTGCCTTTTCATCCTCCTCCATCTCTGCCCAGAGGAGACTTCTAGACACATTTTAAAAAGAATTCCCAATACAGGGTGTGTCTACCAACAGCAGATCTGTGCTGACGCTCTGCAAACAGTAGCTTCGCACGGGCGGGCCTCGGTGCGGTGGACTCTGAGCTGGCACCTGCGCCCATGTGCTCTGTGAGGGGCTTTGCGCTCCTGGCAGTCTCTGCGGTTTTCTACATGGGTACCTTCAGCTCGAGCCAGGCCCGTTCCAGCTTATACTGGGCCCTGGATTCAGTGACGCGAACGGGGCTGGACCTGAGCTGTGTCTGATTTTCCCCATCACACACAGCGCATTTACGATCGCCCTCACCAACCCTCGGGGTGAGCGGGAGCTTTTCTCTCAGACCCGATTCCCACGATTTGTCTCCTCGGGAAGGGCAGCCTGGGCTGGCAGGAGGCCATGCCTCTTGGAGAGGTCTGTGCATGAAAACTGCCAGACGCCCAGAGCAGACCCACGCCCACCACCTAAGAAATGGAAAGGAGCGGCGAGAGTCCGGCCGCTGCCGAGGACCCCGCGCTCCAGCACGTACTCACCCAGGGGCTCGGGAGCTCCCTGCAGTGGGATGGGGTCGCTGTCCCCTCTGGGCTGAGGTGTCACCAAAGCCGCGGAAGCTGCCGGCCAGCTCTTTTCTGTGCAGGCCACCAGGTGGGACAGCCAGGTGGGCAGGATGAACCTGTGGCCCAGTAGGTGGAGGCGACCTGCTGGTGATTGCAAACCATGTGATTTGGCCCGAAACTCAGAGCGGGGCCCACACCTAATGCAAGGAGGGGAAAGAGACGCCCTGACCCCGGAAATAACCCCCAGGCCTTCAGCCCCTGCGGTTTTCTCTGCAGCTCTCGGCACTTCTGGGCATGAATGAACCTGGGCTTTGAACCCTAAAGACCAAGGAGAGATGACAGGCATGACAGTTACCCAAGGTGTCCACAGCCGTCGGGGGTTCCTGCCACAGGGCCAGACCCACCCACACCCTCCCCCTAAGTCCCCTAAGTCCCCTTGCCCAGAGAGAAGAACTGCTGGAAAGGGCAGGGGGCCTGAGGCGCGGGGGCTGGGTGCGTCTCTGCCCCGTGGCAGCTCATTCCTGGCAGCCCCTGGGGAACAGCTGACTGGGAGCATATGGGCGCGTCCCCCCTATGGATATCTTGAAGTCCCCATTCTGGACCCGTGAGTACGACTTCGTTTGGGAAGGGGTCTTTGCAGATATAATCAAGAGGAAGTCTTCAGGGTGGACCCTGGTCCAGTGACTGGCGCCTGCTGAGAGGAGGCGAGGGCATGCAGACACACAGGTGAAGGCCACTGCCAGGACTGCCAGTCTCAAAAGCCAGGTTCCCGGCCCCCAGCCCGAGCCTTGGCGGGAGCCTGGCCCTGCCGGCGCTTCCATGTGGGACTTCTGGCCTCCAGGTCCCATGCACAAGTACGTTTTCTTTCTCTCTCTCTCTTTCTTTCTTTTTTTAAAATAATTACTTTATTTAACTTTATTTACTTATTTCAAGTTGATCTGAGTGAGAGAGAGAGAGAGAAAGTGAGAAAGCAAGCCACTAGGCCCGGGACTCGAAATGCAGTGGCCATGTGGGAGTCCAGCATTCCCAACCACCATGCCACCTGCTAGCCCCACACAGCTACATTTCTGTTATTACACGTGCTTGCTGGAGAGAGAGACAGAGACAGTGAGAGGGAAAGTGAGACATCGCCCCCCAGGGCAGCTGGCCACGCAGCAATCCCTTCCCCTCCACCCTCCTGAGATTTTGGGCACGCATGCACACGTGCCCAGTGTGTTTCAAGTCGCTGGGTCCAGGACTCGAACCGTGGTCAGCCATGTGGGAGTCCACAGTGGCGTAACCACACGCCATCTGCTGGCACCCATTTCTGTTATTTTAAGCACCCAGTCTGGCATCTGCTATGACAGCCCCAGGACACTTCCACAGGGCAAAGCAGATTGGGAGATCGGCTCAAGTCCTAGAGTGCCCACCCGTCCCCTGAGCCAGCTGTGCACGGGCAGGTCTCCATGGAAGGTGCTCGTGCTCTCAGCTGTCGCCCAGCAGAAGTGCGCGCCTGGAGTCTGACCTGCAAATCAGAGCCGTGAGGCCTGTGTCAGGACCGGAAATACCATCTGTGCGTGCAGGGCAAGGTGAAGACAGCGCACCGAGAGCCAGCAGGCGGCATGGTGGGTAAGGTGGCTGGATCCTCTATGGCTGACTGCACAGTTGGAGTCCTGGACCCAGCTTGAAAAACATGCCGGGTGTTGTGTGTGCATGCCCCAAATCCCGAGAGAACAGGGAGAAGAGATTGCAGCGTGGCCCCGGGAGGCCAGCGTGGCCCCTCACTTCCCCTCTCTCCTGCGAGCACATGCCCTACAGCAAATTTCAAAAAGAAAGAAAGAAAATAAAATACAGTGTACTCGCTGAAAAGTGTCTGGGATTTTCAGACAGCGACAAAGCAATAACCAAGGGCAGGGTGCTGGGCACGGGCACCCGGGGAGCTGCCCTGCTCTGTGCCACGGGGCCCAGTACCCCGCAGGCGATAGCTCCAGGACACACTGATCTCCTCCCGGACGGTGATGACAGACCCTAAAACTGGCTGTGGTGAGGTCCTGCCCAGGAACACACTAGACGCCAGCGGGCCGCATCGAAAAGGAGTGGGTTGTATGGAGTGGAGCTGTGTCTCAGTAACGCTGTTAACAATAGAAAAGATTTCCGAGCTGCTCAGCTGCTCCCTCCCCCTCTGGCCCGACTGCCTGCCCCCTGCAGGAGGAGGGCAGGGTGGTGAGGCATCCCAGGTGACCTGGACTGGCCCCGCCATCGGAGCCGGCACTGGCCGGCCACAACGTGGGGGATACCAGACTCCTTCTTGGCTTCTCATTTCTCTTCTATTTCTCTCTGTCTCTTTCTCTTTTCAGCCAGGGTGAGGCTTGTCTCAGCTATGCCTGACCGTCCGGTGCCCCACGCAGCTGGGTCCGCCTTGCCAGCTCCTGTTCTGAGCTGGGTGCTCCTGTCCTTGGGGTGCTGGGTGTTCCCCGCAGGCCTCCTTCTTCCATCCCCTTTCCTTCCTCATTCCAGATCCCTGTTCCCCTGGGCTGGCCCCGTGACCCCCCAGGAATGC